TAAAAATGTTACTCATGTTAAAAAAATATTTTTAAAGGCTCTGCCAAAAAACAAATATAATAAAATTTTTTTAAAAAATTACAACTGAGTACATAAAAATATAACATCAATAATGCTTTATACTGAGAATGTTTAAACAAACTAAAGCATAATTCCCTTTATAAGATTCCTATGAAAAGGCATATAATATCACAAAATGTGACAAGTCACTTCAGCCCTACCAGTGCTTTATTCTTATAATTCTCCAAAATATCTTAACCACAACAAGTACTCATCTATTATCCCAATTCAACAAATAATAAGGCTATTTTGTGCTATGGATAATCATGCTAGGAACTGGCTATTGCAGAAGCACTGAATACATCACAATGATATTGCAATATACATTCATCTCCTCTCTCACACTGTAAAAGCAGTTTGGGGAAATGGAAAGAATGCTAACCTGGAGGGTGGGAGGGACTGGGTTATAATTCCTGCTGTAACCCACTTACAAGTCTGTTTTAGCTTTCAGATTAACAAAGCCATGAGTGATATCACACAAACTTGATTCAGAAAATACATCAGGGTAGGTTAAGAATTTACAACTTTTTAAACAATCAAGAGTCAGTACATTTCATTCCAACATTTTAAGGCAATTTAAGTGTATAATAAACCATTAGAAATGACAAAAAGACTCTTTTTATTAAAAAAAAAAAGGAAAACTTGCAAATGTTATTTATACTAAAACCATAATGCTAGATTGCAAAAATGTCCTACACCAGGTCACAAGATTCTTTAAATACTTACAAAAAAATTATACATATAAGCAAGAAATTTGTCTAATGAAAATTTTCTATCCTTTTATAAAGTATTTTCCGTAATTTTAGAATAGAAATATATTTTTAATTAAAAACCTTGAGACTACTTCCCTCAAAAAAATTTTTCAAATGTCAAGTTATAAATCCTTTTTAATAAGTAGACTATAACTAAGTATCTCATTATGAGCCTGCCTGTTATACAGACAAATATATCCTTTTTTTAAAACCTACAGTTTAAAAAATTGTTTGCCTTTTAATCACTTAATGCAGAAAGCTGTGATTAAATAGACTCCTCCACTGAGTAGTTAAAATACTTCAACCATATTTTCCCATTTTTATATCTTACTCAAAATATATAACATTTTGTCAACCATGTCTTAAGAATTCAAAGAGCAAACAACAGAACATATTTTAAACAACTATAACTATGGCAAATTCTTTCAAGAAGTATTTGCATTTTGAAAACTTTTATTTGTATGTGAAAGGGAAAGTTTTATACCCAAAGATTTACTGACATGATTTGTCAAAACTTTCAATGAGTAAGACTAATCTGAAACTATTCCCTGTGGATTAATTACTATCTATCTTAATTTCTGGGGGACCTGGAAAGAACAGGAATGGGTTAAGTGAGCTGGGTGTGTAGAGTGCTTGCCTAGCACATGCAAGGCCTTAGGTTTGATTCCCAGCACTGCAAAGAAAAAAAGTAATGTGTGGCGACTTAAGGGAAAATTTATATATAAAAAAGTTTATTAGAAAAATAAACAACTTTAAATTATACAATATTTTCTACTTCAAGAGTCTTTGAAATAAAGCAGATATGCCTATAGATTAAACATAATCTGATTTACAAAATCTCATTTAATCCTATTTTATAAAACAAAATATAAAAATACAAATGGTGAAATAATGGATTATTGTCAACTATTAAGAAACCCAACATAAAAGTTCCCATAACACCATTTGTGCATGTATCTAATATGGCAATATTTACTTTAAACTATATTAAAAAGCTTTCACTAAAATTTAATATACTAGTTCATTATCAAAAATCAACATTATCATATTAAAATGCAAGTTCTGTTGTCTATTAAAAAAAAAAAAAAAAAAAGACGTATCAACTAGAAAGTGATTAGCAAACTTTTTCTTAAAGGACCAGACAGTACATATTACAGGCTGGTAGGTCCTACTGATCTCAATATTCAACTCTACCACTACAGGAAGAAAGTATTTACAAACAACATGTAAATAAAATGTCACGTCTGTAGATTGTAATTTGCCCAAACTAAACTACACATGGATTTTGAGTGAGATTGATTATTTCAGGAATCATATTATAAATACAATTTAGATGACTAAACATTAATAAATATATGTTACAGATTAAAATTTTTACTTATTTTCCAGTCACAATTGAATGTGTGTGCATATATGTACACATACAAGTTACAAAACTCATTTTTAACTCCACGTTCTTTTTGGTGTGCTAATATTAGTGTCAGATAAGCAGCAAAAATTGAGTACACAGAAGCTAATCAATAACTAAGAAATTTGATTTTGATATCTATTTCTACACAATGAAAAAAACTAATTTATTACTGTGCCCCTAAAGAAAGTATTGAATGGATATTTTTAAATGTTATTTTTAAAATTTAATTGAATTGCTACAATTTGAAGCTAAATGTGATTTGCTTTGTTTTATTAGAAAAAATACTCAAGCAAGGTCTACAATCATCGGTCAATTAAGAATGACTTACAAGAACATGAGGCAATAAAATAAAAATACAAGTACAAACTATATATCTGAAACATTTCTATTTGGCAATTTTTTAACAAATCAAAATTTTAAAAGAACAAAAAAGATTGCAGATTACTTCAAAGATACAGAATAAAGCAATTGATGAAGTGCTTAAGCAAAGAAAAACAAAAAAAATAGAAAACACACTGCTTTTTTCCTTTTAAAAATAAAAATCACATTTGCTACAGATCGTATGGATAATACCCTTATTAAACAACCTTTCCAGAATGTCTTCTAGTAGCAGTGCTTTTATTTGCACTTCATTTAATTTTATATGACTCATTTCATGTATATAGCTCTTTATCCCACTGTTAACGAATAAAGTCTCCCATAATTTTTACTATTTTTATTTTTATTTTTAAAGCAAACGAGAAATGATTTATGTATCATGGAACCTTTCCCATTTTGGAACCAAAGGTTTAATCTATATTTTTGTCTATTCTTTCTTTAAAAAATTTTTGTAAAAACTGCTGGTTTTTATATCACTGTAGTAAAGTGAAAACTCCTCAATCAGGAGTATTTTTTGCAGTTTGACTGCATATAACCACATACTTTACAATATGTTCTTCCTACAGTAAGGAAATTGATTTCACGGTCACTGTCAGAAATGAGTGCCATAATTCTATTATGGGTATAGGTCCTCCCTCAAAGACTTTCTGGAAGGATGTTCAATGTGTTTTGTTCTTATAGATATTAACAGTAGTACATAGTCCCTTAAGTCTGCAAAAGACATTTATTGTTAAAGAAGGTGCTTTATTAACAATTCCTCTGGCAGCACTAGTGAATTACAATATCCTTCAATATTATTTCTACCATAATATATACATTTTTAACTTTCATGCCTCTAGAAAAACATCTACAGTACATTTCATAATATAAAAATATATTACAAATCTGCTGAATTATTTACAAGCAATGTTCTATTATCTCTATGCAACATTTGTTTGATACAATACTAACAAGTTACACATATTTCCATTTCTGTAAGTTAAAAAAAATTCCATATGGCTTCTTGCTAACCAAGCAAGAAAGTGATTTTATTTTCCTTTTCAAAACCAACTTTGGTGCATAAAGGATTCAGTTTGAAGATACTCTTAAAAAAAATACAATTTTTCTTATATTAAGAAAAAACAACTCAAAAACCAAATGCTTTCCTCAGAAAAAAAATTAGAGTCATATAGGTTAGATGAAAATATGAAGATTATATTCAAATTTGAAATAGAGGTTTTTCAAAAACCGTTAACAGATTAGTTATATAGGTAAATATTAACATACTGTACTCCATGAGAAAACCCTAGTCCTGAAAAGGGAGTCACCAGACATACTGCAACACTCTTTAACAGTAATTTTCAGCCCTAATTCGAAAGACGAATTTTTAGTTGATTGCAAATGTCGGTTCACTGTTTGCTTAAATACAAATTGAACACTTTTCTTATCAGAGTTCTGCAAAAGAACACAAATGGCAACCAATCACATCTATTTATCATAATTGAAAGATTAATTATCTCTTGATTATTTTCACTCTAAATATTTTCTAATATGACTTCAAATCAATAGACACTGTCAAGATAAGTATCCTTACAGTGTTTTTGGTATTTGTAAGGGCACATGTTGTAATTGTTTTTCTTTCCAATAAAACTATTGTAATCACTAGAGGGAAGAAAAAAAAAGCTTAAAGCAGCAAGCATGCAAAGCCTTTAAGAAGCTGTTCCACTACGTTGCCAGAAGAGTGTTTGCTCAGTCTCCCACAGTACCATTCCATGAAAATGTGGATATACAGTAATATATTAATATATTCCACAGAAGAGTCTACTTCATTCACAGAATGTTTACACTAAGCATAAATATTATTCTAAATACTGATTTAAAAAAAAAAAAGAGGAAGGGGGTTGACTCTAATGTGCAACTTTTCCTAAACCCATTGTCAGTGACTAAGACTGCAGGTGTCCCCGCTTGTTTGCTTTTTATGTATTTATTTATTTTTTACCTCTTCAACCTCTTCTGCGGCATTGTTCTAGAAAAAGAAAAAAAAAGAATTTTCTTTTATTCAAATGAAACAAATACACTGAGTAGTTCAAAAGAGAGACATTAAAAATATCTGTAATATACAGGCATTTCTACCAATATAGATCATCATTAAAAGCTATTTCTACACTTGTCTTTCTACATATTTGTCAAGCACTATGTATATTTAGAGATATAAATAAATAACAAATACTATACAGTTAGGAAAAAAAGTTAATTCCCCATGGTGGTACACACCTATATTTTCAGCTACACAGGAAGCTGAAGCATGAGTAACATTTGAGCCCAAGAGTTCTGAGGCCAGCCTGGGCAATAATAGCAAAACTTATCTTTTTAAAAAATTTCTTTTGAAACAAAAGAAGTGAGCAATTTATTTGTAAAACATCTGCATATGATGGAAACAAATTTAGTTACATAAGACAGCTTTTTAGTAAATCTTTTTCATATATCCTGCTAAAAAAAATTCTAAGTTTAACACATGGGCTTTAGTCAACTACTACTTCTTTAAAACTGATGCTTAAAAATCCCAAATAAATTTTCTTTCCGGATCCACTTTGAAGTTACATATATTTCTGGAAGACTTATCATACCTTCATTCTGACAGATTTATGATAATTGTTTTTCCCTTTTACTTAATTTCACAATTAATTTCATTGGTATTCTTAGTCAAAATCCAGAAATTTAGGTAATGATGCCATACCAGGGTAATGATGAAGCTTCTTTAACAGAAGAACAAAAATTTGGTCAAAATTAAATCCTGGATTTTCTGGGGTACAGTTAGGAAACATTAAATCCATAGAAGCATCTAATATATCTTAAGAGCATTCTCATTTCCAAATCACACATCATGAGAACATCAATTACTGCTCCTAAGAACTTTTGAATATTAATTCTAAGCTTATATGATATCTTGTTAAGTCACTTTCAATAAAGTATTTAAATCGCCTCCCACATAACACAAGAGCAAAAAAACAAGCTGATTGGTGTGAAAGGAAGAAGGGAAAGGGAGAATTACAATACAGGTTGTAATCACAGATTAATATAAATTACAACCCAAAACTACAGAAATAAATTCTAAACCAGGTGCTAGTAAATAAAGAATACTCCATTATTTTCTTTATACATGGGCAAATTGTTAACTTTTCCATATTCTAGTAGTAGTAGTAGTAAATTTCTCCATACAGTGAATTTCCCTTTCCTTCAAATCTACCACATCATACACAGAACAAATTTCACTACACTCGGCACCCTTGCCAAAGGATCATTTTTTTTTTTAATTTTTGTTATTAGAAAAAACTCAAGTTCAATGTTACCACATGGCAAGTCATATGAAATCCTGATATAGTGAATAACTTTCCAAAAAGTTGAGTTATGGAATTAACAGAACCTTTGAAATGTTCGATTGCTCTAAAATTAGTTAACATCATGATAGTTAAAAATCTACATTTGAGAATTATCAATTATCATGTTATCTTATTCATGTCAAGCCTAATCCTATGCAAAATACATATTCAATTAAAATTTCATTAAAAAACACATAAAGTTCTTTCACTGAGTGCCTTTTAAAAATTACTTTAAAGCATTTTTACCACCTTTTAAATCACCCTAGCATATGTCATTTAGATAGACACAATAAGGAGTTCAACCGCATACCATCTATGTAACCTTCAGCATTTGAACTATTTAAACTCTTAACTGTTTTCCAATTTGTAAAACAGTACCACCTAATTCAAAGAGCAAAAAAGAAGAAGAAGTATATGTATGTAAAGCATCTAGCAAAGTGACTCAGCACATAGCAATGTTGGTCTCTTCTCCCCTTACCCATACCTTCATTTGCATAACACACTAAAGCAAAGTTCAAGTCAGAAAAATTATTAAAAATGTGAACACTGAGACACCTCTTAAGAAACAATAATATTTAAACTGTTCTTCTGAAGTTTGAGGAAAGTTCTAAAGAACAAACACACAGCCAACTGGGCATCATGTTCCAGCTTGGGGAGCTGAGGCAGGAGGATCACAGTTCAAGGCCAAGGCCAGCCTTAGCAATTTAGTGAGACCCTTAGCAACTCAGACCCTATTTCAAGCTAAACCTTAAAAAAAAAAGGTAGGGGGGGAGTATAGGGTGGGGGGGGAGTGTAGGGTGGGGGGGGGATGGACGGGACCACCAATTTAGGCCCCCCAACCAACCAAAAAACAAATCAGATAATATATAAATGATTACGTATTTAAGCAAAAGGCACTTAATTGCAAATATTTGTATATTATAATCTAATCTACTTAAATAGGCATATAAACTTTATTGTGTTTCTGGATTTTATAATTCATAACTTATTGAGAAGTCATTTCCACATAAAAAAGTACCAGAAGACAGTAGCAATGGTGCACACATTTAAACCCAGTGACTTGCGAGGCTGAGACAGGAGGATTGCAAGTTGAAGACAAGCCTCAACCACTTGGTGAGGACCTGTCTCAAAATGCAGGGGAGGGAGGGTGGTGCCTGACACTAGGGATAAAACTCAGTGGTAAAGCACCCCCAGGTTCAAGTCTCAGTATCCACCCCTCACACACACTCATACCTGGGGATGAGGGAAAAACACAAGAAAGGTACACTTAGTGCTGAAATTCAGCACAAGGCCTGGAGGTGTGATGCATTCCTATAATCTCAGCGACTTGGAGGAGCTGAGGCAGGAAGATCACAAGTTGAAGTCCCGAATTGTAAACTTAGCAACATGCCATCTCAAAGATAAAAATTTAAAAAGTGTTGTGGTGTAAAAGCTCAATAGTAGGGCACCCTTATGTGAAATCCCATTTAAAAAAAAAAAAAAACTACATATATTAGCTACCCCTAGATCCAAAAAATCCAAAATATTTTGAAATCTGAAATCTTTGAGTACCAACATGATTCTGAAAAATTTTGGGCTTTGAAACATATCAATTTTCGATTTTCAGATTAGATATACCCAGCTGATATTACCTATACAAATATTCCAAAATTGAAAAAGCAAAACACAAACTCTGACATGTCAAACACTTATGTTTCTAAGTAGTCTGGATAAAAAATATTCAACCTGTAGTTAAAAACAAATTCTACCAGGCATTGTGGTCCAATTCAGAAGGCTGAGGCAGGAGAATTTAATTTAATGAGCAATTTGAGTTGTTTAGGGCCT